TCTGCCTAAGGGGAGGAATGCCTTCGTGGAGGACTTTCTAAGGAAACTGGCTCGTATAACACGTTAACATGGGGAAAACCACAAAACGCCCATGCCAGCCCGTTTGCGGATTCGAACCTCGGACCGAAACTACCAGTGTTCACGACTTTACCCGCTCGGCCGCTGGTGGGCCAACTAAGTATAACGATGTGTTAAAGTTTTCTGCCCTCGCGCCAGGACAGAAGAACGTGAATGCAATGTTTAAAATTGAAACATTCTGTGCCAAGAACACATGAATGTATTTCGTTCAAAGTGTGAAGAATAAAAAAGCATGGTTATTAGAGATGCAATGAAACTTAGAGGCATGATGTTATTATTTTCATTTATCTTAATTTTAACTCTAAGATTATTTCGGAAATTAATTTTTTGAAACCCAATATTATTCCACTTATTTATAATACCAACAAAAAAAAAAAAAAAAAAAAAAAAAAAAAAACAGTTTTAAACTAAATAATACTATTTTTATTGAAACATATACAGGGCAATCTTTTTTAAAGTTACAGTGTTTGGAGAGCCCTGTAACGTGATCTAACAGCCGAAATGGCACCAAACTTGGTATTTAGACTAATCAAGACATGGGAAAAAGGATTCCGTGAAAAACAATTTAGTATCCTTTTTGCAACCCGTTTTGGGAAAAAGGATTCCGTGAAAAACAATTTAGTATCCTTTTTGCAACCCGTTTTGGGAAAAAGGATTCCGTGAAAAACAATTTAGTATCCTTTTTGCAACCCGTTTTGGGAAAAAGGATTCCGTGAAAAACAATTTAGTATCCTTTTTGCAACCCGTTTTGGGAAAAAGAGTCCTTTATTTTGTCCTTACGTACAGATGTCAGGCAAAACCATCGTTAAATTGCATTCGATAGCTGTCATTTTGATATTTTCGTTGAAATATGATACCCGAAATGTATCGCTGTTGAACAAACTGATACGAATGTAGAAAAAAGAGTTTAGACTTCTAAAACGTTCACGATAGTAATTATATGCTACATGATTTTATACAGAAAGTAAACTTCAATGCAGTGGAAAAAAATATATGTGATTAAATGAAGTCGAAAGTTAATTATAAAATAAGTCTTAACCATGGCTTTTAAGAAATTAAGAAACAGAAACCAGCATGCTAACAGGTGACAGGAGAATGCAGGGCCCGGACACCCGGACGTCTTTGTATGACAAAACGGGTGTTTGGAATCTACCTGAAGAATGGTCATAAGCGTTGCAGATAATAAGAATGGAACTGCTGGAAGTAAATAACAATTTACTATTTATATTGAAGTAAGTAACAACGAATCCGTGTCCAATTCGGTAAACTAAAGATTTTACTACTATCTTGATGAAATGTGGTGAATTGTGGTTCCTTGCAGGATTATCTTTGAAATGTAAATTTTAGTTTAGTCAAGCATATTGTTATCCTTATATTTTTACTTCCTTGTACGAATTAAAAAGGAAGTATTGTAATCTCGAAAAGTTTCAGGCAGCACATTTCAACGAAAATATCCATTTCGACTGCTTTCTAATGCAATTTAACGATGATTTTGCGTAATATCTGTACGTAAGGACAGAATAAAAGACTCTTTTACGCCAAAAAAATTACAAAACTGCTTTAAAATGAATTCTGAAGAGAATTTTTTGTGGCGTCTGTATACGAACGTATGTACGTACGTATCTCGCATAGCTCAAAAACGAGTAGCCTGGTACGATAGCTTTTTGTAATTAAACGCATCAATTGTAAATTTAATAAAAAGTGAAAGGATATTAGAAGAAACCGTAAAAAAAGTTAATCATGATCAAAGCGGTTTTCAAAATTTATGTTTGAATACATGACAACAGGTATTTTGTAGAATGTCCTGGCAGTACATAAAAATGCAGAAAACAGAACTCAAAATATGAATCTATTAATAGTTCATATTTTTTCTAGGCATTTTGTGCAATGCCAAAAGACAAACCGGAAAAGTAGAAAATACTTCTACTTGGCGACATATATGAAGTGGTATGACTTTCGATGTTGGCTTCAGAAGGAGAATTCCCCATATATATTCTGGTTTTGTTTGGAAGAGACGAAATACGTACTTTTAACTTGTTTAACTCTTATAGTTTAGTGCGTGCCATGCTGTATGAAAATGGAAGGGTAGCTTGTAGTATCCGGTTAAAAGTCGTGGCAGTTTGACATGCAACAGCGATTCTATGATCAGTTATCCAAACTGCTACATAATGTTGTAGGGTTTATATTTATTTTAACTAACATTTATTTTAAGCTATCTTTCCTGTCAAGCCTTTACTTTCCCCTGAAATTGCCAATGCCAGAGATGTAAATTTTAGTATAACGCGCAGAGTATTCAAATTTTAGCAGAAGTAATTGAGCTAAATAGAAGGAAAACGAGTTTTTGGGTGGTTTTGATTCACGAGCGTGAAGGTTGCTAGGTAGAACTTTAAGAACCGCGCGTTTTCGGCCGTGTGCTTACTTCGGCGTTAGTTAATGTCTTTCAACGTCTTTAATCAGAAGTTTGCTGAATTCAGCTGTACTTAGAACGCGGTTAAGTTAGTCCGTTTATAGAGCCACGTAGGTAGTGACCTGTTATTATTTATCCTGTTATTTATTTTTAGTAGTACTTTTCGATTTTTTTTTGGTTAACACCCGCCGGTCGGCGTATTTTGTGAGCGTCAAGTGAACGTATCTGTAACTTCTAAAGGAATAAAAAGGGTTAAACCCTTCTTACGAGTTTGTGTAACTTCCAGTTCATAGCAGTCACTACTACTGTTGCGGACAAGTTGGGGCCACGCAACATCACAATGTTACAAAAAATAATATTGTTAACCAAAACTACTTAAATGAAGTTAATTAGGAAAAATCCAAAGTAACTATTAAAAAAGAACCACAGGACTATAGACAGCTAATCTACTATATTGTAATATTTGTAGGAAACAAAACTAAACTAATTTATCCAGTTAAATAAGACGTTATTGCTATCAAGTTCTACATATTTCTTCAATAAAACCGTTCTATGACTTTCGTTTAATACTTTGCCTAAAAACATTTGTCGTTCTATAAAATTATAATGTCGTTCTATATAATAAGTATTACATACAGTGTCTAGAGAAAGTATGCACTAAAATAATTCTGATACTTTGCTCGAAAACGCCAATAATTCTGTATCCTATAAAAGTCAAATATTCATTCTTTTTCCCTCCTTCAAAGATACATTTTTGCATCTGAAAGTCGCCTTAAATATGTATCTTTACTCTTTTGGGCCCACCAGCGGCCGAGCGGTAAAGTCGCTGAACACTGGTAGTTCGGTCCGAGGTTCGAATCCCGCGAACGGGCTGGCTGCATGGGGTGTTTTCGTGGTTTTCCTCATGTGTTACGTGTATACGAGCCAGTTTCCCTTAGAAAGTCCTCCACGAAGGCATCCCTCCCCCTTAGGCAGATAGCCCTCGAGGCTTTGCCATAATCACACACACACACACATTACTCTTTTGACCCACTGTCGAGATCTATTTAGAAAAATGACTACTTTTCACATTCCAGGATGCTAAATATAATCTTCTAATCCTGGAGATTAAATTTTTGGTATTCGCTAATCTGTTATCTAAAAATTAAAGACGTTACGCTCAATGTAGGCTTTCTAATGAACAGTAATTCCATTGCAATGCCACCTGAAAAGGTCTTAAATTCATTCCTATTTCCTATCTTTTTAAGTGAATTTCTTTTGTAGGATTCTAATACAACCCCGCTCTGGTAGGAGTGTGACCAGTTAAAGCATCAATCGCCTCTTTTCATTTTCTATCCATTCTAGGAGGTGGGGGTGGAAAACACAGAGTGACGAGCCTATCCCGGGGGGGGGCATATGTTAAATATGTTCTGGATTGTGTGTGCCCATAAGTTAAATATGGTCTGTATTACGATGAGTGTGTGCTGTTACCGAAGGCTCAAGATGCATTTCAAGTCGATGAATCTGTCTTAGGAGAAAGGTCCCCCCGGGGGTCGACGTAGAGAACTCTGCGAAGCTACTGGCTAGGATCTGTACCTAGGCAGTCTCGGCCACGGGGGTGATGAAATTTATGAACTTGGCGGTTCCCGATGGTCCATAGGGTAAGTCTATACTTGCTCTTCATGGGCCGGGAGGTGTAAGTCCCTTCCACCAGGGTATTGGTAGCCAAATAGCAAACTGGGACATTGAGCGTCTGGTCACTGCTGTCCTTGGAATTCCATGTAAAGCCTAAGGAGAGTGGCATCCCGTGTAGTGCTGGCAGGTAGCCCAAATTAACGGCCGGTCATCGACCCTAAGTTTCCATCTCCCACCCCACCGTGGTCTCGGTCCGGCCGGGACGGTGGTCTTGACCGGCTCGTGTTTAGCGGTGGGCTTTTGATCGTTGAGTGATCAATAGAGGGTACCATAAAATTGTTGGTGTCTCGGGGGTGTGGGACCCTGGGCCCAGCAGGAGTGTTTCAAGTCATCGGTGGGTGACGCTTACGGGATTTATCCCGTTCCCAGAATGTGATTGGGTTCACGAGCTGCGGTATAAATCTTAGTTAGTTAGTTAGGAGAAAGGTGAAATTACGTAGACATTCTATAAAAGTCTTTTTTTTTTCATAAATTTCAAGTAACATATATTTAAGCTAAACCTCGTTGATCGTGATTAAGAATAAACGATCGAAATGAATAATATAGACTTTCTTCAAGAAAGTCTAAAAAAAAAAAAATATTTTCGTTGAATTGTTTTTGTATTAGAAAAGCAAGATTATTTTAATTCTGTGCCCTTAATATAAACAAATAAAGACACTGTTTTTAGAGTTTCAATTACTTTCATACTGGTGACTTTCTATTCATTTACTGATGTGAAAGTCATATTTTTCATTTCATTTTACCAGATGTGCATAAGGTTAAACACTTGTAATCCAATATAAACTCACTTATAACACTTATAATCCAATATAAACTCATTTATTATCCAATAGAAACTCACTTTTTTCCATCCTCTGTGAGGCTCCCCACCTTCCGGAGCATCGGATCACATCGGGACTCCTGAAAAGAAGAAGCAAAAGTCAGTTCCTGACAAGGACTTCTTTTTTTTTCTTTGAGGAATAAAAAAAATTCGTTTTTGATATTATTTTTCTTCATACTAAAGAAGGATAAGATATCCACATTATTGCATTCCGAAGAATAAAAAGAAAAAAAATTTGGAAGATCTTAGCCACTACTTTTGGTGTACATAAAAACACAAGACATAATTTTGAAGATTCGGAACTATTTTTTAGTCCAAAGGGATTTGAATCCCGAAGGACTATTAGTTTCGTTTTGGCATTTTGCGTCGGACTCATAAATGTCGGTTCACTTTTCAAACTGTTGCCACAAAATGTTAGAGTCCTGCATTATATTTGAAGAAATTAAATAATGAAAAATCTGCATAAATGTATGTATATTTCTCGTATTGTGATAAAACAACGGTACATAGAGTCATCGAATTTTGAATAACGTAATCCTCCAACGAATATGAGCATGTGGAAGACCAAATTTGAAATTTGTTTTATGATCGATTTCCTATTTTTTAAAACTTTGACGAATTTTTGATTAAAAAGCTCAAGGAATTTCAAAGCGAGCAATGGCAACGTTGTGCAGAAAAACATTTTTATCTCCAGCGCGTGAGTCTCTGTATCGGAAATTCTAAAGATATGCTCGTTTTAAAACTATTTTGCGATATTGCTGTTGCACTGGATCTTATGGTTTAAGTGCGAGGAACATGATATTTAATAAAGAAAGGTAACACACAAAATGTTAAAAAACGCCCCTTTGGACGTAATTTAAAATCTGAAACATTTCAGATTTTTTTTTTTTTTTTTTTTTTTTTTTTTTTTTTTTTTTTGAATAATACATTTTCTTACACTTAAGAATTATTTAACAGAATAAACTCTAATCTATGATGATAAATAGTAAAGGATATCAAGGATTCCTTTCAATATATCTTTTATAAATAACAATTAACGTATTTTTATTGTCATTCTTTTGATAAGTTAGTGTTTCTGACACGAACACTTCAAATGCCATGTAGTAGAGAAAGAAATTACATCATTGTGTTTATTTTTTAAATAGAACTTTAATTCTGGATTTCTAAAAGGATATTTTACTTGTTTTTAGTCCAAAGGCAGCTTTGTCTCTGAAGGACTATTGTTTTCGTTATGCGATTTTGTGTTGAAGCACTATAAACAGCGAATCACTTTTCAAACTGTTTCCACTAAATGTTAGAGTCCTGCATTATATTTGAAGAAATTAAATAATGAAAAATATGCATAAATATATGTATGTTTCTCGCATTGTGATAAAACAACGGTACATAGAGCCATCGAATTTTGAATGACGTAATCCTCCTACGAATATTTACATGTGGAAGACCAAATTTGAAATTTGGAATTTGTTTTATTATCGATTTCATATTTTATAAAGCTTTAACAAATTTTTAATTAACAAACTCAAGGATTTCAAAGCGAGCAATGGCAACACTCTATGGGAAGAAAAACCTTTTTATCTCCAGCGCGCGGAACTGTGTATCGGAAATTCTAAAGATATGCTCATTTTAAATTATTTTGCGACATTGCTGTTGAACTGAATTTTAAAGTTTAAGTGCAAAGAACATGATATTTAATAAATAAAGGTAACAGACAAAACGTTAAAAAAAAGGCTCCTTTCGACGTAATTTAAAATCTGAAACCTTTCAGATTCTTTTTTCTTTTTTAAAAAATTATTTATCGTCAGTGACAGCCTAGAAGTTTGTTTCATTATCTTAGTTACTCTTCCTTGAAATTCATATTAATACTATCTTAAATGAAAGGTACTCTTTTGCAGATCTCAAATGCTACATAAGAGATTTATGTGTAGAAAAATTACTGTTACAAAACTAAGTAATTCCATCACTGTAGGGAAAATTCTTAGTAGTATAACAGTGTTTTAATCTGCGTTCTGGAAATTGTATTTTAGAATAAGTTTTAAAAATTCAAAACAAACGTCTCTTCTCCTCTTTATTTCATCTTCCTAAGAATTAACATAATTAAAACTCTTAAATATTTCTCTCTCGTGAGAAATGCTTCCTTATTTATTGCATTGTTGTTCATTATTTAATTGACACTCGTATTTTTCATTGAAAGGTTTCGTTCCAGCAAGGAAGGAATAACAAGAACATGCAGATGTTGAATTTTCTTTGACTTCTGAGTCCACTGTACAGTTGTCTCTCTACTTCAGTTTCGTATGATATCCCAAAACTCTTCATCTTACGAATGAAAATTCTAAAATGGTATTTTACTTGAATACTTATAATACGATTTAGGGTTGGTTCTCTAAAACTGGCATAGCTGCGTGAGTGTTCCCGTGGTTTACTTTATGTGCAAGGTAAAGTATATAAAATTGCCTTCATGCATGCAATAACGTCAATATGAGTCGCTTCCTCGTTTTTAATTTCTCTTGAGAACTTTAGCCTTCCAAAAACATCCCTCCATTTAGACAGATAAACATAGTGAGCTTATAAGGTATTTCTTCCGCCTTCTTAGCGTGCCTTCGTGATGTGGTGGTCTGCATGCTGGGCGCGCATTCTAGAGGTCCGTGGTTCGATTCCCGGCGAAGGCTTTGCTGCTTTCTCAAGTCTCTTGCTTCCAAATAACATAATACCTCTACAAGCTTTCCTTTATCTCTAAATCCATCCTTCGATTCCCAAAATAAAATAACAAATTTCAATCTTTCTTTCTGTTCCGAAGATCCATATGCTCAATTTAATTTAATTATTAATTATTAATTTAATTATTAATTTAATTATTAATAAAAGGTCTTAATATTATTGATTAAATAAACGATCTTGTAATTTACATTATTCATTAAAAAAGATCTTGTAATTTACAAGGCCTTTTATTAATTTAATTATTATATAAAGGTCTTAATATTATTTATTAAATAAACGATCTTGTAATTTACATTATTCATTAAATAAAAGATCTTGTAATTTACAAGGCCTTTTATTAATTAAATTATTAATAAAAGGTCTTAATATTATTAATTAAATAAATGATCTTGTAATTTACATTATTGATTAAATAAACGATCTTGTAATTTACATTATTATTCATTAAATAAAAGATCTTGTAATTTACAAGGCCTTTTATTAATTTAATTATTAATAAAAGGTCTTAATATTATTAATTAAATAAATGATCTTGTAATTTACATTATTTATTAAATAAATGATCTTGTAATTTACATTATTGATTAAATAAAAGATCTTGTAATTTATATTATTATTTAATATTGATTAAATAAAAGATCTTGTAATTTATATTATTGTTTAATATTGATTAAATAAAAGGTCTTGTAATTTACATAATTGATTAAATAAAAGCTATTGTTACGTATATTTTAAAACCCGGAAAACTTTAATTGTAAATTAACATCAGTTTTGAAAAAAGAAATCACTATGCATATCGATTGAACTTAATGTTGGTCATTTTCAAGCAGCAAAATTTATTTCCTGGGAAAGTGATTGCAAGTATTAACAAAAACTGAAATGATATGATTTACTGTACTAGTTTGATTTAGAGATGCTTTAGCAAAAGGAATTAATTATTTAGCTTTAACTAATAATTAATATAACTAAGTCTTGAGACATTAAGTTATTTTTAAAGCAAGGGTGATGAAAAATGAGCAACGCCTTAGCAGATAATCGAACCAGGACCTCTGGAATACGTGCCCACCATGCAGACCACTAAACCACAAAGGCACGCTAAGAAGGCAGGAGAAATACCTTATGTACTCCCTCTTTTAAAGGGTTACTGGGGTTTTTAGGAAACCCAATCGCCAAATCTTGGTGGCGGAGAATCGTCATCCACCACCGTTTTTAGTTCGGGCGCCACTTGTAGAGCTATTAGGTGTTTTTGGAAATAGGAAAGATGAAAAATGAGTAACGCCTTCGCCGGGAATCGAACCACGGTCCCCTGGAATAGGTTCCCAGTATGTAGACCAGTACACCACGAAGGCACGCTAAGAAGGCGGGAGAAATAACTTATGCAACATGAAGCAAAAGATCTCGAAATGTCAATTTGCAACAAATTACTGCATTTTCCTGTAAGTTTTATCGTGGTGAAGATGAACAGAGCTTCTATTTAGCAATCTGAAGTTCTATAGTTGAAATGCTTTTGAGCAGAGAGTTTATTTTCTGTTTCACTCCTCCGAGAAAGTTAATGATACCTACATTATCTTCTAAGGGAAAATATGGTGGACTGTAGTTAATCCACACCTGAGTTTTTCATTGAATCACGAGCCGTTTCGTAATAACAGCGATAAATGTAAGAAGTTATCTATTTCCATGCGCATATTTTTGTGATGCAGGTACTTAACATACCTAGATGGCAATTAGAAGATTAGCATTTTAAATTTCGAAGACGGCATTATTGATTTAGCTTGTTGATTAACCTAATGTTTTTGCGTATTTTTAACGTATTTTATTCCTTTTCAAATAGAGAATGATTCAGGATTTATGTAACATAAAAGACAAAATATGCCTATTAAATTATAAATATTTTTTGCTGCACTTCATTTAAACTTATTTCCTCGAATTATTTAAGCTTAATTAACCGATCCCTCAAGCTAAGTTAAAAATGACATTAAAAATTGCAAATTTTAAAATTGGGTAACCCTGTCAAATTTTTCCTACGGGAGACAAATTTCTTTTATTTTATCATGACGACTATAAAATATTCCCAAATATTAGTATAGAAAGCTGGAGACCACATTAAAAATTAGATTTCGTCATTTACCGAAAAAAAATTGTTTTAAATTTGATATTGCGAGAACATGAATATTTTCATCATTTAAAGCACTTCTGTAAGTGGAAGTATATGCTTACAATCAACGATTTCGAAATTAAAAGCCGAATAAGGAATTTTAAGCCATGTAAAGGAGGCGGTCTATTTCATCGGAGTCTTTTTCATCGGATCAGATGGAGTGCAGAAATACCACAGTATTCCTGTTGGGAAAATCGCCTCCAACTA